TGCTGCTGCTGTTGCTGCTGCTGCTGCTGCTGCTGTTGCTGCTGCTGTTGCTGCTGCTGTTGCCGTCCCCGGTCCCGCGATGGGCCCCTGCGTTTGATCCTCGAGTACCGGCGCGTTCAGCGGCGGCCCCTCGTGCGGTCTCACTCCGTTGGCCAGGTGAAAGAAGTCCGTTATCCGCCGCTGTTGGGGCCCTTGCGCCTGGATCTGTTGCGCTTGCTCTGGCTGTTCTGTCGCGGGGTTAGCCGCCCTTTCCAGTCGCCTTCCGGCTGCTCGCAGACAACACCTGCCTACCTCCATGGCAGACAGGGCTGCCAGGGCGATCACATCCCAGGGGGCCTGCTCGCAGCCGGTCGGGGCTTGGACCAGCCACAGCTGCTTCCGGGTGATGTATGTATGTATGTATGTATGTATGTATGTATGTATGTATGTATGTATGTATGTATGTATGTGACAATCTCTGTATTGTTTATGTGGACTATAATATAGTCCACTTAAACAATACTGGTGTAAACCTGCTATGCCTAGTCTTCTGACCCCCTACTGTGGGTTTATGCAATTCTTCGTTCAATTCCTAACAAAGCAATGGGCGTATTAGCTATTGCGCTTGTGTTTGCAAGTTTATTTGCCCTTCCTTTTATTCGAATGGGTGGTGGGAAATTCTTTATCCTCACTGAAAAGCTTTTTGGCGCGTTCTTGGCGGACGTGCTTCTGCTTTCTTGGTTTGGCGGTAAAGAAATCATTACCCATGTTACATCATTTATGGGTCTTTGCTGCACAGCTTTTTTATTTATCTATTTACTAGGTATCTTACCTCTAATTGGTTATTTTGAAGTGATGTATTTATGTATGTGTACGCTGTGTGTTTTCCCTCCTCGCAACAACCCCACGTGCCATCCTCCACTCGTCTCATCGTACTGCACTTGTCGGTGTGAAACACACACACGTGAACGCTTCTATTTTCCCCTTTTACTTTTACCAAGGTTAAGTTATCGTTGATGCACTTTTCCCCTTTTGCTTTGCAGTCCTGGACGACAACTGCATGTTGTGTCTCCCCAACGGCGAGCGCATCAAGCTCAACCCCGCCACCATGCGGATGCTGTTCGAGGTGGCGGATCTGGCGGCGGCGTCGCCCGCCACCGTGTCGCGGTGCGGTATGGTGTACGTCACTCCGGACGACATGGGCTGGCGGCCGTACGTACGGTGCGTGTGTGTATGTGTATATGTACGGTGCATATGTGTATGTGCATGTGCATATACATGATGATGATGATTCTAATTCGACTGCTCGTCCCACCGGGAGCCAGACATCCGTGTGTTCCGAATCCTCTGCCGTATCGTCCGCCTGCTCGTCCAACCGTCAGAACCTAACAGACAGACCTCTTTCCGCGGGCCTTTCTGCCCCTTTTCCCGTCCCCTCCATTTCCCACCTTGTTGTGCCCTTCCTTCCTTCCTTCCTTCCTGTGTCCTGCAGTTCCTGGCTGGACGCCCTTCCCACCGAAGTGATGGCGGCCTTTCCACCGGACACGGGAAGCCAGCCAGCCCTGACGGCCGAGCTCACCCTGGGGGACATGAGCCCAGCCTCGAGCTGCCGCCGCTCCACCACCTCCCATTTCGACTTCCTCGCATTCACTCACGCGCACGGGACAACGGGATCGACAATAACAGGGACCGGCGCATTCGGCGCCGGATACAGCAACGGCGGCCGTACTGGTACGGGCATCGGCATCGGCGCCAGCCCGTCCATCCGCAGCGTCGCGTCCAGCGGCGGCGGCGACGGCGGCGGCGGCGCCGCCGCTGCGGCGCATCCAGCGCATCCGGCGCCGGCGCGTGTACGACCCTCTCCCGGCGTCGTGTCGTACCTGTCCTCTTTGTTTGACCGCTTTTTGGAGCCTTTGCTGGCGCACGTACGGCGCAGCGCCAGTCCTGCGTTGGCCACTTGTGAGGTGGCGCTTGTGACGTCGACTTGTGCGTTGCTGCAGTCGCTTCTATTGAGTACACAGCTCC